CTGTAGAATCCCCTCACTGATTACACTGTAAGTGATAATCCACCTTAACCAAAATCAAAGTAGACTATTACTCACCCACACCAGATGGAAAACTCTACAGTATATACATTTTTTGAAACCGGGGTCATTCTGCGCTCAGCGACAGGACCCCGAATCTGCAATAAAATTTTGGCTTCTTTTTTTGGGGGGGAAGGGGGGGGAAGGGGGGGGGAGGGCAAGGGGGGCGGCTGGTCTTGTTGGGGAGTGCTGGGGTTGGGGGGGTGTCTGTGATGTGATGCAGATGCACTTTTTTTTTTTGGTAAGGGGTGTGAGTGTATAAAGGGGGGCGAGAGAGAGAGAGAGAGAATGGATCCCCTTAACACAGCTCAGACAGCCCATGCAGGCTATCTGAAGGGTCCTCGAAGCCATGTAGCGCAGACCCCCCCACCAAACTCCCTGCCCTGGCCTTGTGAGCTTGTGCCTCACATAGGTAGGCACAGTCCTCACCCCGATATCCAGGTCCTCATCCTTCTTCTTGTCGCCGGAGAATGGCTTAGGACTCGGCAAGAGTATCTTGGGCATCCACCGCATGGGTTGGATTTCTACAGGTGTTTGCTGCAGTGGCTGCATAGCCACTGAGACAGGTTGCTGCGCGCTAACCTGAGCCTATCTTGACAATGGCACTGTAGCTGCCACCGTCATTAATGGTACGAAAGAAGCTCTAAGGACCGGACCACTAGTTGCTACTAATCCACCTGGAGGGAGAATGCCAAACATGGGAGAAAAAAAGGGCCCTACCGGAGACAACGACACTAAGGGACCCACAACCAATGGGGGGCTACAGCATACTGAGGCTGCCTCATCATTGCACGAGGAGCCTGCAGTGCAGCCAGAATTTGCCTCTGGCCTACCACCAGTTCAGCCAGCACTTCCTGCTAAACAAACTGCGTTTTTGTCACGCAAAGAAGCGAGTTACGCGGCACTAGCATAGCAGGATCAAGTGTCGACTCGTCTAATGCTTCTAATTTACTTAGCTCCTGTCTCCTACACCTAGCTGCCTCTCAATATAGCCTTTTGTCTCCTCTCTGCTGCCTCTCTCAACTGCCCCTGCAGCTCATCGTGAAGTTCTTCGGCTTGGAGGATCTCATAGGCTGACTTGCAAGCCAACAGTCTGACTAACAAAAACCTGACGCTGTGGCTCGGGACGAGGCCTGTGACGTACTGGAGATGGTAGCCATCACGGCCTCTAAGGTGGCTGCTGCTAACCTAACCCTCCTTAATGCCGCCCTCTCCCTAGCTTCCCTCCGCAGTCTCCTTTCCTCTCTTGGAGCTAACTCTTAGAAAGTTATCGGTCGACTGAGAGCAGTTCTACGTGTAACTCCAAGGGGTTCCACTAATTGTTCCTCCTCCCCACTACTGCCTGCATTACTCGTGAGCTACAGTGTTTGTGATCTAAACTAGAGTCCACACTGAATCCTACCTCAGCTTGACACCCAACTGAGTGTGATGTACAACTATATTCGATGAGCCTAGAAAGAAACAGTCAAGTGGTCAAAGACAACTAATGTCAGATCCTACAAGTAACACTAGTTCTATTTTTAGATTACTCTGATACAGAATGCAATGCAGCAAGGAAGGTATTATCCTATCTGCAGCTGTCCATCAGTTGTCAACAAGTCTGTACAACTAAATAATCAAAAATAGAACAGTTTACCTGTGGAGAGGTATGCTGGATGGCAGTTTATCTAATTTGAAGAATATGTGAACAGTTACCGGAATCTCCACTCTCCCTGTATCCTTCTTGAGCGGTCTCTTTGTGTCAACGCCCTGAGCTTCTGGTTGATCGACGTGTCTGAAGGTGTGCAATCCGGCCCACCCGTGTCCCGAGTCCATGCCAAATCTGCCAGCCCCTGCACCTTGTTTACCCTCGCATGCAACGAGCCTTACATCCGATTTGATCTGGCTGATCAAGAGGCAGTTTAAGGACAGCCCCCAAGGTCCTCAGGAATTATTCAACGTCGCAGACAGGATGACGACCACAGCCAGGGTTCAACACCGAATCCCGCCAGAAATATTTACAGTCGGTCTGGTGCCCTGCATGACCTCTATTGCGCAGCCGCAGAACCAAGGACTTGCAGCAAAGCATGCGTGTACTAGTCCCAACGGGTTGGCATGGTGACCGTTGTCGGGTCAAATACCCTGACAAGGGTATTTGCCGGGGGGGTTTCAACGTCGGATGCCGTCCGACTCTTTCGTTGAATTGAAGGACTTGATGAGACTGACGTTGCCAATGTTTATTCAGACCTGACCTATGACTGAGAGACTAAGAGTTTTCGAACTTTAGTCCGAGCGCATGTGGCGTCCGGGAGTAGTGGATGTGAACGGTAGTAACCGGAAGTGCTTCGCTTTTTTTGGGACCGCAGAGGCACGCGAACGTGGGAACGCTAACGCTATACTTATTCTACCTAAAATAATGTCGCAGCCGCGCGATTCAGGGCCTAAGTAGGCTAAAAAGAGGGATGCGCCGGGTATAGGGCCGCCGCGCATGGGGAATAGGAATAAGGAGTTTATTTTCTTTGGGCCGCGGAGGTTGACATCGAGCCAGGGGGTTGATAGGTCAATGCCGACATCGCTCGGGGTAAGGCCTGCCGGCTTGACCTGGAAGGCCACGGGCAGGCAGGGCCTGTAGGGCCACAGGCAGGCAGGCAGGGCCTGCAAGGCCACAAACAATACGGGCCTGCAGGGCCACGGGTAGGAGAAACCGTGAGGGCAAGCTCTTCTTATAGAAGAGCTGCTCCTATCACTCTCGTGATAGGAGTCAGCCCAGTAGGATACAGCACCAGACTTCCCCCGACGGACACCGGGATCGAGCCCGGCCGCACGCGTCCTACTGTGCCAGCTCCTTGTGGAGCTGGCCGCCAGGTATGTGGCGCGGACGATCCCGGCCGTGCGATCGTGAGATCACACCGCCGAGATCAGCCACGCAGATCGAGAAGAGGTCCCTGCGCAAGGATGACATGCGTGAATCGAGAAAAGGTCCAGTTTTTTTATTTTTTATATTTTTTTTGGAAAAAAAGAAGAAAAAAAAAAAAAGAAACTTACCTGCCCTGTATCTGGACGCGTAAGCGCCCAGATACAGGCTTCGTGGAGTCACATCATCACGAGGTAAGACTTTCTCTTTCCTTTTTTTTTTTTTTTTTTTTCCTTGTTAGGTTTTCTGCCATTCGCCCGAAACAGTGCGTCGAAAAGGCTGCCGTTCAGTCAGAGAGAACGAAGTAAAAACAAAATAAAAAAAGAGGAAAAAAGCAAGGCGCCATCTTGCCCGTTATGAAGTGGATGGGGACTTAAGGTCCCCAGCGATTTTGACAGGCGCCCGTTGAAAACGCGCAGCCGTGTTAGGTAGGTTTTTCTTTTTGTTTTTTTTTTCTTTCTCATCTTATTCTCTTTCTTAGATTTTGTTTAGATTTTTTTATTTTTCCTTCTTAGATTTTGTTTAGGAATTTTCTTTTTTTTGTTCTTTCTGTCTTGTTGTTTTGGGTGTGACAGCCCGTTCGTTTCGAACGAACGGGCGAAACGGCTTGACTGAGCCGAACTGTTTCGTCATACTTTCACCGACTCATCAGGGGGTTGAGCCCCGACAATCCATCTCCGGA